AGGCGGCGGGGGGCGGCGCCCGTCTGCGCTGCGCGCTCACCCCTTGCCCTCGCTCTGGTTCTCTTTGACTGGCTTCTTGCCATGCTTCTCTTTGTTTCGTAAATAATCCTTCAGCTTCTCCGCGCGGTCTAGGTACTGCACGCACTTGGCTCGAATGCTCTCCTTTGCCTTGTCACTGTGTGCCTCATCTGCAAAAGGGGACCCAGAGAGTGGCCCGTGAGCGCCGTGCACCCCTACGTGGGGTTCGGAGGCCAGGGGACCCCAAGCCCGACTCACACTTGATGGCGTGTAGGAAGTACTCCACGGCATGCTGGTAGAGCCGCAGCGCCTCCTCATAGTTCTTGGCTTTATCCTCTTCTGTGGCTTTGGTCACCAGATCAATGGCTTTCTGGAAAGGCAAAGCAGAGTTCAGGGCTTCCCAGGAGACCCAGACAGCCTCTGGAGTCCCCCCCAGCCGCTGAGGAGTCAGTGCCGGGCTGCACCTACTGGTCACGGCTGGATGGCTGGCCCTTTGCAGAAGCGCGCGGCGGGGCGGCCACACGCTGCAAGCTCCAGCCCACCGCCGGGGAGAGAAGCTGCCTGAGCTGAGCCCGGCCATAGCAAACCCCAGCCATCCACGGCCACGGTGCTGCACAGATGCAGAAACCGCACTAGGAAAGGCCTTCCGCAAGATGGACTTCCAGACACAGCTAACCCTCTGCAGACCCAATTCGCTCCTCTAGGCACCAAAGGGCCAAGCTTTCCTCAGCCGCCTGCCTGTAGGGGACATGTGGAAGGCGGCTAGGGGCCAGGCCAGGGCAAGCTGCCGGCAGCGGGGCCTGTCCCCGGACTTACCTGAGTGAGCCAGGTCTTGGGGAGACTCACACCTACAGGCCAGTGCCTCAGGCTCGGCTAGAAGCACCCGCACCACGCCGCTAGCGGTGCTGGTGGTCACACTTAGTCCTAGCTACTCAGGAGGCTGCGATTGTGAGGCTGACAGTTTGGACAGACAAATCTAAGCCTCTACTCCCCAATTAACTAGCACAATGCCAGACTGGAGGTATGGCTCAAGTACACAGAATGCCAATGGAGAGCACGAAGGCCTAGCAGGAGCTGGAGGCCCTGAGTTCAAGTGCCGGTACAGACATCCACACCAACTCCTGCCGCTTCTCCAACCCACACGCCCTGCATTCTCTTCCACCTGGTGTGCCATTAGTCATCTGGTGGCAAAGCTCACTGCTGCCAAAGCTCCAGCCCAATCAAACCATGACCTGACCCTCCTGGGGACAGTGGCTTTGTTACCCACAACAACCCCTCCCCCAGCTCCTGTGGCTCAGTCGTGGTGAAGGAGGGACTGCAGCAGGCTTGGCAGGGCAGCGCAGCCCATCCCCTCTGTCCCGATCCTCAAGCATTTCCCTCTTCTGTCTTCTCATGCTGCAAGCCGTCCATGGAGAGGAAGCGCTTTGTGTAACAGGAGAGTAATGTGACAATAACGCTGCCAGCGCTGCCACATCTCTAGTAACGCCTGTGGCAAAGGCTGAAGACCGAGGAAGGGGAACAAGTACCAGGGGGAAGAGCGCTGGCAGGGTGGGCATCGATCGGCAGCTCCCGCCTGCGTCCTACTTTCTGAGACCTGGATGATCACACAGGTTTGAAGCCAGCCTGGGCAGGAAAGCCTGAGAGATTCCATCTCTAATTAGCCAGCAAATACTGGAATGGAGACGTGGCTAAGGTGGTAGAGGATAAGCCACCAGCCAGAAAGCTAAGGGAGAGCCCAAGGCTCTGAGTACAAGCCCCATTCTAGCACGCACATATGCACACACGCAAGGAAAAAGGCAAGATAATAAATGCTTTGGGGGCATATGGGATGGAAAGGGTTGCGACAGGATCTCAACCCAGCTAGCTCAGGATTTACTATGTGGTCCAGGCTGGTCTTGAACTCAATCCTTGCTTCAGTCTCCGAAGCATCAAACCTTTGCCTGCTGCCCGCCCCTGACAGTATTTTAGGTTTTGTCAGCCACACTGTCTCCGCAACAACTATTCGCTCTTCCTATGTAGCAGCTGTAGACAGTACGTAAATAGAGGAGCAGCAATGTGGTTTCAATAAAACTTTATAGGCACCGGAATGTGAATTTCAGATTATTTTCATCTCTTTTTTTAGATGTAAAAGCCCATGACAGAAGTGGCACTGTGGCTCAAAGTGGTAGAGTGCTAGCCTGGCTTGAAAGAGCTCAGAGACAGCCCCCAGGCCCTCAGTTCAAGCCCCACGACTGACACACCCTTAAGAAAAGTCCCGAATAGGCAAATCCACCCAGACCACTGAGCGGATTAGGGAGTCCTAGGCCTTGGAGAGACAAAGGGTAGAGCAAGCCACAGCTGAGGGGCATGGGGTTTTCTTTTGGAGAGTGATAAAAATGTGTAAGCCACCACTTCCGACTTTTTCTGTTTATGTAGTGCCGAGGAATCGAACCTAGGGCCTCAAAGCATGGGAGGCAAACACTACCACTGAGCCACCTTCCCAGCCCTCAACGTGAAACTCTTATCTCCAATTAACCACCAGGAAACTAGAAGTGGTAGAGCACTGGCCTTGAGCTGAAGAGTTCAGACACGGCCCCCAGGCCCAGAGTTCAAGCCCCACGACCGACAAAAAAAAAGGAAAAAGAAAAAGAAAATATGCTAAAAGCACAGAACGATGCCCTTTCCGTGGGTAGATGGTGCTGGACGTGGGTAAAGCCGTGGAAAAGAAAAACTGAAAACAAAACAAAAGCCACCGTTCAGGGCACAGAGTCAGGCGGCGGGGGCTGTGCGGGCTGCTGTCCCGCCGCGGGGTCACGGCGCAGGTGCACGGTCAGGTCTGGCTCGGGCCGGCTCCCCACCGTCCGCGCCTCC